AGAGCCTCTCTTTGCCTCTTCTCAGGAAGTGAAGGACTCCAGGGCTTCCCTGGTGGCGCAGTGGTTGAGAGTCCGCCTGCCGATGCAGGGGACACGGGTTCGTGTCCCGGTCCGGGAAGATCCCACATGCCGCGGAGCGGCTGGGCCCGTGAGCCATGGCCGCTGAGCCTGCGCGTCCGGAGCCTGTGCTCCACAGCGGGAGAGGCCACAACAGTGAGAGGCCCGCGTACTGCAAAAAAAAAAAAAAAAAAATTAGGTTACATCAGGAGGTGAAGGACTCCAGAAGCCCCTGAGATAAGCAGGGGTCTGGACACCCTCACTGCTGCATAGACAGAGTGTGTTCTGCACTGAGGCTGGGGCTTGCTGTTTGGGAACCCTCTTCCAGTGAACAAGGCTCCAGGCTACCAAGTTGCAGGTATTTCTCCCAGGCTTCTTGGTAGGAACTCAAGCTAAATACTTCGTTGTTTTCAATGCATATTCTTGATTTTTCCTGTGGCCGGTATGGCCTTGAGACAAAAGGTTATGACCACCAGCACTAATCCAGTGACACAAAGGCTTTGCCCAGACCTTGTCCACATAAAAGGAACTGTTTATATGTATTTTTCTACAGGATAGCCCCTGGCTACATCCACTATAGACAAGAAGGGAGAGAGGGCAGTTAAGCAGTACTGAGCTGCACTTGAGGATATTTTGGTTTTAATATTATTTTTCTTTGCCCTCATTGAGCAGTCTGGACCAGGCTGTGGCTCTGACAGCCCCCTCTGGGGTCAAGGGGGCTTCCCCAGCAGTCGTGCATGGGGGCGGGGCCGAGGGTGCAGCAACTAGCCGGGCCCGCTCGGGCTGCAGACCCCTTGTTTGGATCAGGTCCTCGCTCTCTGCAGGGCCTCAAAGGGGGCTTGATGCTTGTGAGTGTGCCCCCATCCCCGACCAAGGTGATAAGGGGAGGGGGGATGGACATGTGAGACACCATCTGATGGACATGATCGCCCTAGCCAGTGATTGCATGTGGGCAGCCAGGCTCAAGGATGACCCTGACATTTTGACCCTGTGACTGGGAGAATGAAAATGCCATTAACAGAAATGGGGAAAGGAGACAAAGGGACTGGTGGCGAGAGCACGATGGTAAACATGAACACTGAACATGAGCTGTTGGCAAGCTATGCACCAGGGGAGAATGGCCAGTGAGCTGGACGGCGGTCTGCAGGGTGGGGGCCATGGAGGTATTGATGCCCCGGTAGAGAGCAGTAATCACTGCTATGTGGTCCCTTGTGCAGAGATGGCAGGCGGAGAGAGGTGAGGAAAGAATGAGGAATCCTTACTTTAAGAAAGAGGAGGGGCTTCCCTGGTGGCGCAGTGGTTGAGAGTCCGCCTGCCGATGCAGGGGACACGGGTTCATGCCCCGGTCCGGGAGGATCCCACATGCCGCGGAGCGGCTGGGCCCATGAGCCGTGGCCACTGAGCCTGCGCGTCCGGAGCCTGTGCTCCGCAACCGGAGAGGCCGCAGCAGTGAGAGGCCCGCATAGGAGGAAGGAGTCAGGACAGACCAGTGTATCCAACGAAGTGCTCGATTGCTCTCAGAGAAATCAACTCTGCTCGTTTCAGCAGTAAAGACACATATTTAAAAGTCACTTGGGTGGCTTCCAGAATCTCTGGAAGAGGTCTGGGGCTCTGAGAGGAAGAGCATCAGTGGAGACCAATGGGGCTTGCATTGCTGACACCATTGGCTCTGGACACTGGCATTTCTGCAAGCACTGGGGTCCCTGCTGCTCCAGGAACTCAGTTCTGAAACTGGCATTTCAGCCAAAGAGACCCTCCTGGTCCTTGCTTCTCTGCACCAGCAGACCCTGATTCTAAGCCTGGGGGCAGGAGTATCTGATTAGCAGAGTTTAGGTCTCAGGACTACTCTAGCTGCAAGGGAGGCTGGCAGAAATATAGCATCTGTAGCTTCCACACTGGGAGATAGGTTTATAAAAAAGGTAGAGGGGATAGGGGACTCCTGAGTCTTGTCTGTGTTTGGAGAGAGAAGGAGAGGGAAAAGGCAAGGGAGGGGGAGGGAGGGAGGGAGACAGAGACAGAGAGAGGCGACATCCAGAGACGAATGGGAAGACGGAGGCTGATGGAGGGAACACCGGCTGGGAGGGGTCAGGAGAGGCAGGAGGCGAGCATATGACATGGAAAGAACAACTTGGGAGGAAGGAAGTGTGAAGTCAAGGAAGCTCTTGGAAGATCGCCTCTCTTGGCTCAGAAGGATACGGATTGACACAGGATGGGATGGCACCCTGAGGGGAGGGAGTGACAGTGCCGGGGCGGCAGGTGGCAGGGCTCTGGAAGTAGGGAGTGCAGGAAGTTCAGCCCAGCAGCCCAGAAGGAGGACAGCCTGCGGGGTTCGCCACTTTGTGAGGCTGCCATCCCAGTGCAGCCAGACTTAGTCAGTAGCAGGCTTCTTATATGGAATCTGTATGTCTAGGTAGCAAATCTCTATTATCTTTCTATGATCTTTCAGGAGTCCGCCATTGACCTTCCTTTCTATTGGCTTCGACTCTCCCTCATGGAGGGGCCCGCCCAGGGTTGCCTCTCACTGAAGACTCCTTCTACCAAAGTCCTCTCCTCTCCATGCGGGGACTCTGCTGCCCGGCCTCTGAGGTCCCTTTGGTGCCTGCCCATTTTCTACTCTCTCTGTTTCTTCTGTGAGCTCCTTAGGCCAGTCCTAAAGTTTCCCTCTTGCTTCAGAAACCAGTTGCAAGTCCACAACATTGGCCACAGTTGTGTCTTGTAATCTCTGCTCGTTGGTCCTGATTCTACCTGCAGAACAAATCGATACCGTCATCCACACGGGCAGTCCTTCAGTGCCGTATGAACAGAGGATTTTCTGGAGGAAAGGTTTACCTCCCCTGATATAGAAATACAACTTTGTAGTTATTGCTTATGATTGTGTTCAATTTCTTAACAGCCATACTTCACTTATGGTCAAATAGATCCCAGAAGACTTCCCCTCACAAATGCTGTCAGACGAGATCTTTCTCATCCTGTTATTCTTCCAAACACAAAGATGAATATATAGATGGGCATATGTTGTTTTGTCTGCCTACCGCTCCTTCCTCTGGGAAGCCACTTCTTCCTTGTTCCCTGTGGTTCTCCTGTCAAGTTCAGCCTCCCGCCCTATCCCCATTTACAGGGATGGGCACATGACCCATGCCTGGCCAATCACATCACCTCCTACCCCCGGCAACAGCTAAGCATGTGACTGAAGAATCTGTCTCTATAATTGGAACACCAAGAAGTTCTCTTTTGCTGGTGGTCCTCAGCGAAGACAACATAAGCTTGGGGTACAAGTGGCGTTTTCTCCAGCTGTGTGCAGGAAGTCCATTGCAGTGGGAGAAGAGGCCAGCCCTCCTCCCACCCTCACCCCCCAGGAAAGCAGAGGTCAAAAAACCAAGAGAAAGAAGTAGAGTCCCAGTGACATCGATGGATCCCCGGGTCTAGGTCTGCTGGAGCCAATAAATATTCTTTCTGTTTAAGCTAGTTGAGTCGGGTTTTTGTCACTTCCAAGTGGATGAGCCCTGACTAGTAATAACACTTTACAAAATTAGAATGAATGCAGTACACTTAACTGTGCAAAATAGGGAAAAGTAAAACAAAACAAAAATCATTCCTAACCCTATTTTTCAGTTATACAAAAAATGGTATCATACCTTATATACTTTGTGCATGTGTGGTTGTGATTTTAAGATATAGCTGCACATTCCTCCATCCAGTGTGCATGCCCCTTTGCAATGTAAGTTTGCTGCTGCTACTCCCGTGGAGGGGTGGAATTTCTCTCTCCCTGGATCTGGGCTAGCCTTGTGACTTATCTGAGCATTAGAATGCAGCAGAAGAGATGTATATGACCTTCAGAGGCCTTCCAACTTCTGCTATTAACCTCTTGGAAGAAAGGGCCAGGTGAAGAAGCCAGGCTAACCTCTTGGAGGATGAGACCGCAAGGAGGAGATCAAGACAGCCCAGCCCACAGCCAGCCTCCGTGCCAGGTGTGTGAGTGAGGCCATCTTGAACCTTCCAGCCCAACTCTCCCTTCAGCTGAACACAACTGTTTAAGTGAGTCTAAAGCAGCAGAGGAACTACCCAGCTAACTCATAGAATCGTGAGAAATAATACACGGTAGTTGTTTTAAACCACAACAGGTGGTTAATTATGCAACCAAAGCTAACCGAAACAGATTGTGTTCTGACTGCACATCGTCATTTCCCCCACGTTATTAATATATTTATTAAGGTTCTTTTGTTTGCAACCATGGGAAACCAGTTTAAATAAAAGGGGGATACATTAGAAGGTTCCTGGGGTATTTCAAGCTACAGAAGGTAAAGTTGGGGAGGGGAGAAGTCAGGGCCACCATGGGGGTGTCAACAGTAGGAGGAAACAAGTGTCTCTCCAGAAAACTGCCATTAACAATTAATGTTAATGACTTCTGGACAACTAACTTCAAGTTCTCAGAACAGGCTTGGGCCCAGCGTCTACCTCTGGAACTCCTGGCTACGATGGGGGGCGGGGCAGGACGCAGAGACAGGAGACAGAAGGGAAAACAGCCGTAAGTCTGTGGAAATCCAGGAGGGAAGCCGGAACCGGGTAACTCATCGTGGCCCGGGCCTGTTTTTTCAATTGCTAATGTTTTGATTTCCCCGAACTTCTTTTCTTTCAGATCTTTTTTGTTACTAATGTATCCAGGCTCCTTTTAATAAAGGGTGAGAATCTGCATGGGGCCACGTTGGAAACTGTTAACAACCAGAGCAACGTTGTATACTTAGCACAACGCAACTGAGTCAGCCAAGGTTTTCTGTGAAAACGAGTCTCTGAGAGGGTGGCTTGGCAGTTTGAGTCAATAGCTTCAAACACGTTCGGGGTGTAGACGAGAAAGGAGTTGTACCAAAGCGTTGAAAAGGGGTTAAAGCCAGAGTAACAGGTGTTGTGAACAGAGAGAAGGAAGCAAGAGCCAAAGTGCGGACTTGGGGTTGTTTCTGGGGAGCGCGACCGGCGCTGGTGTCGGGAAGAGAACACAGAACGTCGCGGGCTGGGGGGGCGGCCTCGTTCCCGGATGCGTCCTGCGGCGTTAGGGGACCGGGCCAGCCGAGTCGCCCGCGTCCCCGCGCGCAGCGCCGAAGCCGCCGCCCACACCGAGCGGGGCGGGGGCCGGGGCCCGGGGCCCGGGGCCTGGGAACGCGCGCGGTAGGCATCTGCTCCTGGGACTGAGGCGGCGTTTTGCCCTCCCGGCTGCTGCGGGAGCGCGGGCCGCCGCGCCGGCGGCGACATCTTGCTCAGCAGGAAAGCGCGGGGAGAGCGGGCGGCTCCGGGCTGCTGCGCCACACGCGCAGAGGACCGGCCGGCGCCGCGGGGCCGGGGGCGCACGGAGGAGGTAAGCGGGTCCGACCCTCCCGCCCGCACGCCGCGCTCGGAGGGCTCTCCTGGGACCGCGAGGCCGCCCGGCTCCCCGCGCCCACGCCTCCTTCGCCTCCCTCCTCCACCGCCCATCCGCGGGCTCCCGCGGCTTCTGGCTTCTGAGCTCCGGAGCCGCCCTCCCGGCTGACCCCCCACCCCCCCACGCCCCGCAGCCGCTGCCGCTCGGCCCCCCCCCCCGCCGGGGCCGCCCGCCCCCCTCCCCTCCCCCCCCCCCCCCCCTCCCCTCCCCCTCCCCTCCCCCTCCCCGGACAGGCCGCGCGCTCCCTCCGCCCCTCGCCCCGCCCATCGCCCCGTCCCGCCCCCGCCGTGCCCGCCCCCGCGCCCCGCCCTCGCCCTTGCTCCCGGCCCCACGTCCCGCCCCGTGCGGGCGGGGCTCCGGGTTTAAACGTCGCGGCGGGCCGGGCGAGTGGAGGGGCGGGGCGCGCCTCTGTGTCGTGCCGCGGGTTCCGTAGGCGACAGCGCGGCGCGGAACGGCGGGCACTCGGGGCCGGCGGGAGGCACCATGTCCCCGGGGAGCGGCGTGAAGAGCGAGTACATGAAGCGCTACCAGGAGCCGCGCTGGGACGAGTACGGGCCGTGCTACCGCGCGCTGCTCCACTACCGCTTGGGCCGCCGGCTGCTGGAGCAGGCGCACGCGCCCTGGCTGTGGGACGACTGGGGCCCGGCCTGCGCCTCGGACGACTCGGCGTCGTCGGCGTCCTCGGGCGCCGGGGCCCCCGCGCCCCAGTGCGCCCCGGCCTCGCCGCCGCCGCCCGTGGAGCCAGCGGCGCGCGAGGAGCCGGAGCAGCGGGCGCGCGCGGCCCCGGAGGAGGAGCGGGGCGCGGAGGCCGCGGGGGACGCGGAGGCCAGGGACGCGGAGGCCGCGGAGGACTCGGCGCTGCCAGGTACCTGGCCGGGGAGGGCCCCGCTCGCGGGACTGGATTTGCTCTTGGGTCTCCTCTGAATCGCCCAGCTGTTTGTCGCAGCGCTCAGAGCAGGCGCTTCCTTGATTGTATTTAATCTAGGTATTTTGGGTAGGCGGAGAATGCGCCTCCCTTGACAAAATAATGAAGGTGGCTGCCCCGCCTCCGCCCTCCCACCCTTTATTCCGTGATGAGGTGGCTCTGGGTTGAGCCCAATGTGAACGCCTTTGACGTGTCCCTGGCGAAGTCCCCGGATCTTCATCCGCTGGCCTTGGTGGCCTCTGGACCACTGAACTCCCATCTGTTTATTTCTGAGCGCCCGTTTGTTTATGAGAGGCGCCCAGCTTTCATCAGATTCTCGAAGGTGACCGCCAGAGGTTAGGAACCACTGAGCTAAGCGCTCCGTCTTTTGAATGGGGCCGTTGTTTTCTGTGTTAACTCCCTGACCTCGCCGCGCTGTCCCTAAGGAATATTTTGCATTTGTTTACGCAGACTGTTGCGTAACTCCCGGCTGGTGGGAGATAATCCTTGTAAGTGCCTGGCTCCCTCCGCTTCTCGCCACCCCTCCTCCGGCTGCTGCTGTGAGCGGGAGGAGAGGCAGCTGGAAAATGGCTCTTGGGGGCGGTGCATCTGCAGTTGCTGCCGGGGCCCCGCGCCTTCTCTCCTGCCCGGAGGAGCGCAGAGCTGGGGGAACTCTCGGCGTGTGAGGCGGGCTAGCTGGTCACTGGTGCTAGGGGCCAAGTTGAATGGATGCCCCAGATACATCCTGGAGGAACCCCCGGTTTCTTCCTGATACTCTAACGTGGGCCAGGCACCACCCGGCGTCGCTCAGTTTTAAAGAGGCTCTGGTGAGCAAAATAACTAAAACGTACTGAGAGCTTGTCATGCATCCAGTCACTGATCTTAGAATATGTATTTTCTCATTCAACGTTCAAAACAATTCTAAGAGATGGGACCACAGCTTTTATCTGAGTTTTATAGATGAAACTCAGGATACATGATCAGTGATTTTATTTTTGTTTGCCAAATTGCAAGTGGTACTCAGTCAGACTCTCATCCTAGCTCCTCTGTGAGATGCTGAGCAGGAGAGGAAATTGAGTCCTGTTATACTGTTTTCAGCTACTCTCAGTTCATCGCCGGTGGCAGAGCTGCCCCTCTATCCTCAGGTTACTTGTGAATTCCCACCCATTCCTAACCTTTGCTAGAAGTGCGCATAACAGAAGGTGGAGAGGGTAAGGGGGCACTGACCTACCAGCTCAGTTATGAGATGTGCTTTATCAGACTGAATGGGCTTTTCTCTCCCCGCCTCTCCCCCTTCATTGTTTGCAAAAGAGCTGTCAGCTATTTCCATGCGTATATAAATGCGGTTTTTAGACAGCACTGTAGTATGGATGGGGTCTGTGTTTGCAAGAGTTCGTGATTATTTTGATTTCCTTAGAGACACTAAATCCTCCCAGTGGCTAAGGTAGTTACTTTTTCTCTGCTAATATTTCTGGTTTAGGCATCCAGGAGAAGAAAGGATGTTTCTGCTTTCAGGACTCCCAATCCCAGGATCTTTTGGTTTGCTCATGCCTGTCACAGCCCCTGTCTATCCCTGTGAATGGCAGGATTGAAAGTCCTTGTTTTTCAGTGGACAGTTTCTGGAATGATGAGCACGCTTTTGAGTTTCTATAAAACGTAAGCGCTTAGCCCTTGTCTTTACTGAAGCCATGTGTGCGCACAGAATCGTGTAGCTCTATATGGCTGAGCACCGCTACAGCAGCTCCCCTCCCCACCTGCCTATTCCCTAGGCGGCCACTTCCCACTCCTCTGGTTTGCCTTGCTGTGTATTTCTGTTTCTCCAGGTAACATGGCTTTTATTGATACTTCTTGATCTTTTTCAGTTTTTAGCACCATCTGTTGGCTTTAATTCTTTTTAGTGATCTCCTAACCCATACACATGGCCTATCCCCACCCTCTCAGTACCGTCATCATAGAGTTTGTTAGATTCACAGTTAGTTCCTGTGGAAAGGTGGCTCACAGCTGCCCTATATTGTTTTTGCCGTGATTCCCTTTTCTTTCTTTTGCAACACCACGGACACATCAGGTTCACTGTCACCCTCCCCATCTTAAGACGTCCCTCCCGGGGCCTCTGACCTACTTTCATCTGGCCTGGTTGCATCTTGGGATGGCCCTTGGCCACCGCTGCAGGGTCTCCCTGGCTTCTCTCTTGGGTAGGACCCTCTGTTGTGTGGCTCTCACATGGTCTTCTTTCTTGGTTTACCCTCTCCTGACAAAGATTATCTTCTAGTACCTTCCTGAGAAAGAGTGTGTGAGAGGCTTAACTTTCTGAGACCTTGCATGTCAACCGATTCTACCCTCACTATTCAGTAGTTTGTGGCTGGGCATGAAAGTCTAGGTTAGAAGTAATTGTCTCTAAAAAATCTGGAGGCGTTGCTGTCCAGTGTTGGAACTTCTGATGTTGCCATTACACTTCCGTGTCATTCTTTGTTGATAACACGTTCCCCGCCTCGGAGGCTTTTCAGGTCTTCTCTTTGTCCTCTGTGTTCTGAAAAGTTTCCCCGATCCAGGCCTGTTTTCCTCCAATGTGCTTTCATGGGTCCTTGCAGTCAAACTCATGTTTTGTAATTCTGGGAAGTTTTCTTGAATTGTTTTCTCATTTCTATTTATTTTATTTTTTTTCTGTTCCTTTCTTTTTGAACTCCTTAGTTGGATGTCAGACTTCACAAATGTGTCCTATAATTTTCTACCCCGGCCCCCATTCCATCTGTCTTTTTCTTCTGTTTTTCTGGGCAGTATTCTCAACCTCATCTTCCAACTCTTGGATTACATTTTTCATCTGTGGGATCCTATTTATTTTTTAATGTAAGAGCTGTTCAATTGTTTTCTAGGTTTTCCTCCCTCCCCTCCTTCCCTCCCTCTCTTTATTCCTCTTTAAAAAAAATAGTATTTTGTTCTTGATTCGTGCACATAGTATCCTCTCTTACCTTGCAGAGAATATCGCTAGGAGTTTTTTGTCCACTTTCTTCTTGCGTGTTTCTTCAGCACAGTCTGTTTCCCCTCCGTCTCCCTGCATTTGTTTCTTTTGCTTGTCATCCTGCATTTCCTGTTAGAAGCTTTTCTCAAATGTCTAATGATCCTTGGCTTCTCGTTCTTATTTAAGAAATGGGTATAAGAAGCTGTCGGGAAGTTCCCTGTGTGTAGGGGGTGTGGGTGGAGGTGCTCGTTCACTGCAAAGTCCCTTCTCTCCGTAGCAGCATGCTTCAAAGAGGGTCTAGAATGTCTCCAATTCCTTTCTTCATATTCCTTTTTAAATTAAATTTTATTTTCTAACCAGTTATACGTATGCATAATTTTTTAAAAATAGGCTTAAAATGAAAAAATAATCCTGACCCATCCACCAGCCATGCTCCTCGCTCCCTAGGGGCCTCCTTCCAACTCTCTACCTTTCGTTTCAGCATTGTGGGCAACACTCTTTTCATTCAGACTAATGTTGGCTTTTTTAGTTTAAACATTATATACTGACTTCCCGTCAGTATATTTATGATGATTTAGCTCGAGATCTTAGCTTGGCCATCCCCACCCCTAGACACACACCAGCACCTACTTTGTCCCACAGTGTTAACTATGTGACGGTTCCATTAAAGCACTATTCTGTGTTTGGATGACCGCGGCTATGTAAATGTTATTTGCAGGTAATCCATGTAGTACATGCCGATTACATTTTCTTGGTTATTATTTATGTTTTTCCTGGAGTTAATCATAGCTTTACTTTTATGTTTGTTTGTTTGTTTTTGGTACTCCCGTCACTCATTCAGCCTGAGTCTGGTAGTACTGTAAAACTTGTCATATGCCAAGCACATTAGGTGTTCTGTTCGTTTCATTATTTTCCTTGGAGACATTTTTGAGGAACCCTTGGTTCCCCTGTTTTAATTTAGACTTTATGCTGTCCAGACCTGACATAGCTGTCAAACTGAGGCTTCTCTTCACTGATTGCCTGAGGATTCCTTTTGCTCAACTCCTTTATGCGGCCCCATCTCACAAGTCTCAAGTCTCCCTTCCTTTTGGTGGAGAAATGTTAAAGGGGAGTAAGCATTTTGTCACCTTGCAGTCTGAAAATGCCTTTATCCAAGGGCTGGACTGCCATTTTGGCAAGATAGAGACTTCCTAGGTTAGAAATTTCAGTATTTGAAGGCATTATTATGTTGAACCCTAGGTTTAGGTCTTACTGTTGAGAAGTACCATGTTATTCTGATGCTTATTTTGTATACATGACCTCTTTTCTTTCTTTCTTTTTCTTTTCTTTCCTTCTTTTTTCTTTGGGGAGGGAAGTTTTGGGACATTCTCTTCACCCTAGGTGCTCTAAAATTCTATGTGTCTGTCATTTTTCATTCATTGGGCTGACAACTTGGTGGGCCTTTTTAATCTGGAAACATTTCTTTTAGTCCCGTGATGTTTCCTAGTACTGTTTAAAATAATTTCCTCCACTCTATTCAGTTTTTCTTTCTATAATTATTTTTAGTTGGATGGTGTACTTCCTGGATCAAACCGCTAACATTTTTATTTAAAAATTTTTTGATTTTGGAATTTTTGGTTCTGTTTTCCAGAACTCTTTAATTTTATCTTCCAAATTTTGTATAGAAATGTTAAATTCTACCATTCTAGTTTTTAATTTCAAAGAGATTACTTTTACTTTTTTGTCCCAAGTGTTCTTTAAAAAAATTTTTTTAAGTAGCATCCTATTCTCTCTGGATTTCTTTTAACTCCCCCCTCCCCCCACCCCAAAGCCATAAATATCCTTTGAGCGCTCTCTTATATTCCCAGCCTAGTCTTTTTCTCTATATTTTGGTCTCTTTCTCATTAAAGGATGTACTTGAATGCTTGCTCTTAGCCTGTCTGCCCATATTTAAGAGTGAGGCTTGAAGGGCTTTTCGGGAGCTGTGTTCCTGGGGGAGCTTGTGACCATAATTGCAGGAGGACCC